GCCTCCTGGGGTCTCCTGGTGACCTCCTGGAGCTTCCTCCTGGGCCTCCTGTGGCCTCCTGAACTCCACCTGAGGTTTCCTGAAGCCTCTTGGTGCTCCCAGGGGGGATATCTAACCTGTGGCCGCTTCAACGAATCGACACCGGATGTGTATTAACTTGACACATTCTGATAGAGGGCCTCCTGGGGCCTGCTGGGAGCCTCCTGGGAATCTCCTGGGGGCGCCTCCTGGACCTCTCTGGGGCCTCCTGAGGCTCGCAGGGTCCCATGGAGGATATGTAACATGTGGTCTTCTGGGCCCCCAGGCTGGACCACCTCTTGCGCAGCATCTGGGAGCTCAGAGTTGCGAGAATGTCTTGTGCGAAACAGGCCGGACCACCTTGCGCACGGCATCTCAGAGCTCAGAGTTGCAAGGATGTCTCAGGCGAGACGGGCCGGACCACCTCGCGCAGGGCATCTTAGAGCTCAGAAGTTCGAGGATGTCTCAGGCGAAACGGGCCGGACCACCTCTCGCGCGGCATCTCCGAAGTCAGAGTTTCGAGGATGTCTCAGGCGAAACGGGCCAGACCACCTCGCGCAAGGCATCGCAGAGCTCTGAGTTTCGAGGATGTCTCAGGCGAAACGGCCCGGACCACCTCTCGCGCGGCGTCCCGGAGCGCAACTTTCCGAGGATGCCTCAGGCGAAACGGCCAATCCCGGCCAACTCAGAAACGAGAGTTGTGAGGATGTCTCAAGCGAAACGGCCAAAACCATAAATTTGTTGTGAGGATGTCTCTGCTCCGCCTTCCCTCGGCCGGAGTTAGTTTCTACCACAACAGCACCCCGTTCAGCAAGTTGTTTGGGGAAATACACCCAAAATAATTTAAAAACAGTCCAAACATAGTCTGGGGACTATTTTTGTAATATTGTTTGGCCTCTTTGAGGCATTTTTTTACCTAACAGCGAAGACTGATAGGTTTCTAGTAGGGTCAAAAGAGAGCATCATGACGCCCCAGGGGGGTCTGGGCGCGATCTGGGGGAGGGTGCCGGGGATTTCTTTTAGCCAACAGTTACACACTTCGTGGTCTTCGAGGTCCCAGAACTCCATTCCCGGGCCACATTCTGAATGCCCGGAGCCAACAGTAACGCACTTCGTGGTCTTCGAGTTCCCAGAACTCCACTCCTGGGCATGATTTTGA